CACCTGAAGAAGTTTGGTCGGGACATCCACCTAATCTTGATAGACTGAGAGTATTTAGTTGTGTGGCCTATGCTAACATTAGGCAAGACAAGGTCGAACCTAGAGCTCTGAAATGCATGTTTATGGGATACCCTGAAGGAGTCAAAGCTTATAGGCTATGGTGCCTAGAGCCAGATCACAGGAGGTGTATCACCAGTCGAGATGTAGTTTTCAATGAAGCAGAGATGGTTTTTAAGAAAACTGATGATGCTGACGAAGAGCTGGAACAGGGAGAGATTCCTGTTGAGGTGGAGCATGTTGATACTGAATTGCTTACCCCAGATGAAGTCGAAGAAGACGCAGAAGATGTTGTCGAAGATGAGGAGACTGATAATGACTACCTGCTAGCAAGACACAGGTCGAGGAGAGTCATCAAACCACCTCAAAGACTTGGGTATGCAGATCTTATAGCTTATGCCTTAATCTCTGGAAGTGAGGTTCTAGACGAAGAACCTAGAGACTATAAGGAAGTTATGAAGAGTCGAAAGAAGACTGAATGACTGAAGGCTATGACTGATGAGATGAAATCTCTTCATGATAACAACACCTGAGAACTGATCAAGAAACCTGCTGAAGCCAGGTTAGTCAGCTATAAATGGATTTTTAAAGTTAAGGAAGGAATCGAAGGAGTGGTGTCGAAGAGATACAAGGTAAGATTGGTTGCTAGGGGGTTCACTCAGAAAGAATGTATCGACTTTAATGATATGTTCTCTCCTGTTGTAAAGCACAGATCCATTCGAATGTTGCTTGCCATGGTGGCCCAGTTCGACCTTGAACTGGAATAGATGGATGTGAAGACTGCGTTCTTGTATGGTGATCTAGATGAAACAATCCTGATGAGGCAACCTGAAGGGTATGTCGAAAGGGGGAAGGAAAATTATGTGTTCAAACTGAATAGATCTTTATATGGACTGAAACAATCTCCTCGACAGTGGAATAAGAGATTCGACAAGTTAATGACACACATAAGTTTCATCAAAAGTCAATTTGACCACTATGTTTACTTCAGATTTCGACCGGGTAATTCATTTGTTATTTTGTTGCTCTATGTGGATGATATTCTAATAGCAAGCAACAATGTCGAAGAGGTAATGAGGGTGAAGGCTGAACTCAATAAAGAGTTCGACGTGAAGGATTTGGGAGTTGCGTCTAGGATTCTTGGGATTGACATCCGGAGAGATAGAAAGCAGTCGAATTTGTGCTTATCTCAAGAGACATACCAACAGAAGCTTCTCGAAAAGTTTGGTATGTCGAATTCAAAGCCTATTGTGACTCCAACAGATCCTCAGTTTAAGATTAGTATTACTCAAAGTCCGAGCACTGAAGCTGAAAGAATCTATATGAATAGCATTCCATATGCTAACATAGTAGGTTCTTTGATGTATGCTATGGTCTGTACTAGACCCGACATAGCATATGTAGTAAGTCTTGTAAGCAGGTACATGGCGAATCCTGGAAAGGCTCACTGGCAAGCATTGAAGTGGATTTTAAGGTACATAAGGGGGTCTCTGAATATAGTCCTAATTTATGGTGGAGCCTTGGGTGAAGATAGTAAAGCAGCAATCAACGGATATGTTGACTCTGATTATGCAGGTTGTATGGATTCTAGAAAATCTATCTCTGGATATGTGTTCACTATGTTTGGGACAACAATCAGTTGGAAAGCAACACTTTAGAAGGTCGTTGCCTTATCAACCACTAAAGCGAAGTATATTTCCCTAACTGAAGCTGTGAAGGAAGCATTGTGGCTTAAAGGTTTTGCAAAGGAGCTAAAACTTTAAGGTCGAGTTATCACTGTTAAATGTGATAGTCAAAGTGCAATACACCTGTCGAAGAATTCATCCTATCATGAGCGAACCAAACACATTGATATGAGACTGCATTTCATCAAAGGGGTAATCGAGCATGGAGAAGTTCAAGTGCTGAAGGTTTTGACAGATCATAATGATGCTGATATGATCACCAAGACATTTCCCAGTTGCAAGTTTTTCCACTGTATGCAGTTAATAAAGTTGCATGAAGAAAGCTAGTTTCTTGATGTTATAGAGTTAGATCCAAGGTGGAGATTTGTGAGATGTTGGATCGAACTCTAGTATGGTCATAGTCTGTTCGCAAGTAATGCATGTTGTAGTCGAAGTTTTTTCTAACATGCATTAGTCAATATTGCTAGGGTTATTAGTATGTTGAATTGGGGCTTGCTTGTAAGTCCAATTGTTTAAGTTAGCTTGTACCCTAAATTAGCTTGTAATGGGTAATTGTTAAAAAGCCCATTAGGTTAGTGTGCTATTTTTCTTATAAATAATAGGATACTAGTTTCTCAATCTTGTGATAAGGAAAAATAGGAAGATAAAATCCTAATTTCAAGAGAGAGGTTATTTTGTTATTCTTGTATACTTGTAATCTTGTTAAAAGAGAAAGGAAAAAATAGCAGTTTAATAACCAATCCTTGTTGTTCCTTGTTGTTTTACCTTGTCTTCTTTATTAACCCTAACCCTTGTGTGTTTCTTGATCATTAAGAAACTGTTTATACTTTGTCTCAAGGTATCCAATTCACAACAAAGAAAAAGACTACTTGAGTATAAGGTCCAGTCATAGCCCCGAGTGTTAGACTCGAGCCTTAATAGCTTGCAAGTCCAAATATTTGTCTTTCGCTATTAATAAAAAAGGTGTATTCCTTTTGCAATAAATTAGATGAAAAAGACTACTTTGGTGTAAGGTCCAATACTAGTCCCGAATATTAGGCCCAAGTCGTAATAACTTGTAAGCTCAAGTGTTCATCTTCCACTCAAAACACTTATAAATATTCGAATCATTTTCATAACCAAAATGAAAGAAAAAGACTACCTGGGCATAAGGTCTAATCATAATCCTGAGTATTAGACACAAACCGTAATAGCTTTCAAGTCCTAAATACTCGTCTTTCAACCCAAAAATATATTCAAAACATCCAAACCATTTTGCCTTTCGGCATACATTCAAACTCTTTTTTAAATGAAAGATGTTTCATCTTGAGATGATGCAAAACAATGCCTCATCCACATACGTTGTGATGCAAACATCCCCTCCTCTAAATTGTTTTACCTAAGCAATATTTCTCGTCGATTGTGACAAAATAGATTTTGCTAAAATCGACCCACAAATTAGCATTTTCTATCCATAACTACGTAGCCTTGAGTTCTCTATCGCACATGGAGATATGTAAGATCAAGATTCAAAGTCTCGTCAGACACATTAATAAAAAAACTTTTTTTGCGATCCTTTTTCTTTTTCTCTTTGAACTTTTAATAACTCGAGGAAAGCAAACATTTTTAAATTAACACTCATGCGCAATACTAACTAAACAGTTCCCGTTGAGTGCAACAAATGTGAGGGGTGATAATACATTCTCTTCACATGATCAACTCCCGAACTCAATTTGGTTACGACGACCATTTCTAAGAGTTTGAAATAAATAACTAGGGGTTTTATCAATAGTTTCCCATTCCTCTTTTGAAATAAATAAAGTTCGGCGGGCACTCTGTTAGTAGTTTCGTGAACATGCGATGCAATCGTAAGGTTGTATATTTTTGAGATGCGACACATGTGTGCATTATCTGTCCATTCTTTGCAGAACAAGGATGCTGCTATGTGCGCACATTTTTCAATTATATGGAATGCATTTTTGATGATATATGCAACAAATATTATTGATATTTTTTAGCAATTAGGTTTATTTGATTATTTAATTAGTTTAAATTTAAATTAAGGTGATTTAAATTTGAATTCAAATCAAATCTTCTTTTGTAGAGCTAATTTGGAGCAACAAATCTCAACAATATCTTCACTAATTCTGGACGAAATAAGATCTTTATCCAATGAGAAAAAGCACAGAAGACATTGCTATACAAGAAGACTATATTCTCATGTTTTATTTGACAATGTTTGTGCACATGACTGAGTTCTTAATGCCTAGGGTTTGTGAATCTTTTCTTTCTCGTATTCCACATTAATGCCCTCATGAGGGTTAATGTTTAACCTACTGTTGTATTCTACTATATATTTCAGTAACTTGGTATAGTTGTTAGTTTGTCTTAGTTTAGTTGTAATTCAACAATCAACAAAATTGTTATTGAGGTTGATCAATAGAGGTTAGTGATTGAAGAAAGTGTGTGAGTTCTCATATTTATGGGAAAACCTAAATAGAAAGTCATTAGGATTAAATAGAGAAATAAAATTTTACAGGATTTAAGGTTCTTATAAGACTAATTGTTCTAATTCGAAGTGGTGAACTTTTTTTCTTAGATAAATACCCCAAAACATAAGTGTAGTTTCACCGAACTGTGTTACCAATCTCTTGTATTATTTTTATAATTTTCTGCGTTGTTTATTATTATTGTCAAACTGTTCTTAAACTAATTTTAAAAATTGGATAAGTTGTCTCAACTTCTTATCCAATACTTATCCTTGATTTTAAAAATTGGATTATATATATATAATATTGTGATACATAGTATAATATAAACAATATCATATATCATAATTTAAATTGAAATTTGCATTAGAAATTATGAATAAAAAACTAAAAATAATATGTTTTGATATAATAAATAATAAAATAATTAAAATTCATGGTGCGGTTTATTTTAAAAATTGAATAAGTGGAAAATACAATTAGAAAGAATTGAATAAGTGAAAAATAAAATTAGAAAAGATATCGTAATGAGGTTAATTGGTACGCATTAAATGGGAACAGTGATTTTTACGGTGATTCAATAAAAATAAATTAATATACAATACCATATATTATTAATTTAAAAATTACAGACATGATCGGTTGAAATTAAATTCTATCACCATTTATATATATATTCACATTCTAAAATATTGTTTTACAATAACTGTCAAATAACACTCCAACCCTCTGTATCTTCTCGCTAACCTCCCGCGTCGCCACTGCGCCGGAGGTTAAAAATCTAGGTACTATGGACTACTACAACATACTGAAAGTGAGTCGAAGCGCTACCGACATTGATATCAAAAAGTCATACAAAAAGCTTGCTATGATATGGCACCCTGACAAAAACCCTGATAACAGAGCCGAAGCCGAGTCCAAATTCAAGCTCATTTCCGAAGCATACGACGTTTTAACCGATCCAGACAAGCGTAGGATCTACGATAACCACGGCGAAGCCGTCCTTAAGTCCGGTGTCGTCCCTTCTACACCTCGAACACATTCTCATTTTCCATATGCATCTTCCTCGGCCTCATGTTCGTCACGCCAGAATCGTCATACCGCCTATCATTATAACCCTCGCAATCCTCACGATATTTATACTGAGATCTTTGGTAATGATGGTAGGGAAACGAGTGGGTCTCGGAGGACAGCGAGAGGTGTGCCGTTTGGTGGACATCCGATGAAGAAAGCTCCTCCGGTTGAGCGTCCGTTGCTTTGCAGCCTGGAAGATCTGTATAGCGGGGTTGAGAAGAAATTGAAGATTACCAGAACTGTAACTGATCATGATGCGTAAATCAATTTTAAACCCTAACTTTATTATTGTTATGATTCTGATATGTCTTGTTTGATTTTTGTCGTAATTGATTAGTTTATAGGTTTAAATGCTTTGTTGATTGAAATTGAAACTACTTTGAGTAAATATGAACTGGGAAATTGAATTTAATTACAAATTATTAGTAATACATACTCATCTAATCATGATTCTGAAATCGAAGTGACAACAATCCCCTTTTTGCTTAGAGTGATTGATAGTTACACCTGACTATAGTGGTGATAACTGGGCAACTCAATGCAAGAGTTGATTGTTCTGAGAGTATAAACCCTAAATTTATGAGATTGGAATTGAATTTAGTTACTAATTTAAACTAATCTAATTCTGTTTGTGAAATTGAAGTCACTAAAATCCCCTTTTTCCTAATCATTTTTCACTGTTTATAAAACTCCCGAACTAGGTGAAAGATTCTCCTTCTATTCCTCCCCCTTCCACAGAAAGCCCTCTCCTCCTTTTCCGTGCTAACTTGCAAACAATACCTTTGCCTTTAGGTGATGATCTAAGCTTTGGATTCTGATACTCTTCTAATATTTGGCTCTCTTGGAGAGTAAAGTTGAACATGGAAATGTTGCGTTACCTAATGAAGTTGAAATGTATGAATGAGTTGTAAAGAAATTAACTCATTGTACTAGTGATTAGAATGTTTGCTTGAAAAATATGAATATAACATACCATCAAACCCAGTCATAGGAGGCACATTGTTTCTTTTAGACCAGAGTGCAATACACATGTTCTAGAAGGTTCAACGCCCAAGATGGTATATACTGCAGTTAAGGATTAGACCTTAAACTGATAGGATAGGATAGGGTCTGTTAGGATATAATTTTGTTATTTGGTTTTCATATTTCTCTAGATAGGATTAGGATATAAATATATAAGATCTGCTTGTTATTTAGTTTCGTTGTTTATGGGTTTGTTTTCTATAAAAGTGGATGGTTTCTATTATTGAATGATAAGCAATAACTAATATAAAAAACTCGGAGGTTTCTGGTCTGTTGAAGCATTAGCATCCATCATAGGACATTGTGGGCTCTGTCATTTTCTAGTATGCAGAAAATTTTCATTGGCCATATCTTTAACAACAAAAGTAATTTCATGGTTGGCTCTTAACCTCTTTCTATTTTACATATGATATGGTGTCATCATAGGAGTTAACTATAACATAACCCCAAAACTTGATAATTTATTGTGAAAGGGTAGCGTAGTATCTAATGGTGGATAAAATAGTTCATTTGATTCAATGATTATTTCTAAAAATCATTGAGTAGGGATCATTTTAAATTTTCTCTCAATTATGAACTTTGGTCTTTTCTGATGGTTGAGAATCTTACTGGAAGTTTCCTTGTGCTTAGTAAATTTTTTGCTTCCTTTTAGTTACAAGGTTGAAGTGGGATTTGATCCAAGTTTGTGAAACACCTTGGAAATAGTGAAAACTGAAAAGTCATTTTTCACTGATTCTTGTGCAAATCCTAGAAAAATAAAAAACCGATTGAAAATAATTTTAGCATTTTTCCAATTAAAAGTGAAACAAAAACAAGATTTTGAAAATAAGAAGCAAAATGTTTACACAACATGACCCTTTTCTGACAATTAAAGAAAACATGTGAATGAGAGGGAAAATTGACTAATTAGCAAAATTAACTAATCAAATAAAAACACACAAATTGAAATGGATGTTAAAAACATGACTGATTTATCTGTTACTATTTTCCCTTAAGCAGGAGACTCTGTTTTCTTGTTTTAATTGTTAAGACATAGAGGTTGTAATACATCCAAAGATATAAAGTTCAGAGTATCTTTAGAGCTTTATTGTGGTAGTTTATCATACTACTATATTATATTGAAGAAAGGGGGAAAGAATTGGCAAGTTATTCTGATAGCAGGATCATATTTTTGGAAAATTACTTCAACAGTTCTTTTATAGAAGAAATGAATATTTTCTGTTTGCTTACAATGTTTGACGAATGCAAACTATTTCAGGAAAAGTCATACTGAGGAGGAAATTGTGACTATTAATATAAAACCTGGCTGGAAGAAGGGGACAAAGGTTACCTTCACCGAAAAGGGTGACCAAGAGCCTGGCATTATCCCCGCTGATATCATATTTGTGATTGAGGAGAAACCACATGCACGTTATATAAGGAATGGCAATGATTTGATAATTAACCAAAAGATGACTCTCGTCGACGCCCTTACAAATAAAATATTGGAAATCCCTACCTTGGATGGGAGGCGACTCATGGTCCAGTTGTCAGGTATAATCACACTTGGCTATGTGCACGTAGTACCTAATGAAGGAATGCCATTGTCCAAAGAACCTGGAAGGAAGGGAAATTTAAAAATTAAGATCGTTGACATCAAGTATCCCTCGAGTCTAACTCCTCAGCAAAGATCTGATCTGAGGGGAGTCTTGAGTTGAATCAAGTAACTTTTTGTGTATGCACATTGTGAATATATGATGTGCATGGTATTTATGCATGTGAATAGGGGTGAATTGGAGTACTTACTAAGGGCTAGAATACCAGGGGTGCCATACTTGATTTTTTGTAGGGTAGGGTAGGAATCGTAAGGATAGGAAGTATCAATCTTGGTGAAACAAAAATAGGTAGTTAAATTCTGTTGATTTTTCATTATTTTACGTTAGCTTGTTTCCCTCTTGGCTAAACTTAGGTTTCTGGAGCCTTGAGTTGATCACAAAGAATCATGTTTTACACAATCTTATTGGATAGACTGTGTTGCTATTTATTTATCACGGGTTATTTGATTTGATTGATATGATGTTTTTTTTGGTTACACAATCTTATTGGATAGTCTATCTTTTTCTCTTTTGAACTTTCTACCATGGACACAGTTGATGTGAAACACATATTCATATCAGTTATAATTATTAGATCATTACTAAGTTAGATAGTCCATACAAGCATGGTCTTTGTTACTTAGGCGGTGGTTGTGTTATATAGTATTCAGAACTCCCATGTATTTATCTAGTTTTATAAAGAATTTTATGTTAACTTGGTCTTTATTCTAGTTGTTTTAGTATACAAAGGATTCAAGGTTTATAACTTATGTCTAGTTATTTATTTATTTATTGTGAAATGAGTTGGAAACTCCTTCATCAAAGACAAACAACATGCAGGAGGATTTAATCTACCACCCTTTAAATTATATCTGACACTCTTAATATTTCATATTATCAAAACTGTCTTTGAGTGAAAAACACACTAAATTTCTGAATGAAATTTTTGGTAGGCATATTGAAATTTTCGATAATTTATTTGAAATGAAATTCTGGTGTGTCAGAAATTTAGAAATTTTCGATAATGTCTAAAAAATTTTCAAAAATTTGATATTTTCATGGTGATACCGGATATTTCAACATAAATGAAATTTCTGGTAGTTTTGTTTTTATGATTTTTTGAATGATCAAGACTTTGTCGATAATTTTGTATGACTGTGATTGCACCGACAGTTTGTGTAGTCTAGAATAAATTCAAATTTGTATAAATAGGGGGTCATATGTTGATAAACACATCTCCAAAAAATGTCTCTTCCTCAAGATACTTTGGAAGCACAAACAAGTTAATGGATCCTTCTGGGAATCCTCCATTGGTGTGCACAGAGGGCTCAGTCGAAGGAGTCGTAACCTCCGTGTCAGCAGTAACCGATGGACCCGACTCACCAACAACAACATCTGACTTTACTTCCTCAACAGCCTCCTGAGCAACCTCCTAAGCAACCTCCTGAACAACCTCCAGAACCATTAGATCAACCACATGCTCAACAACAGGATCAGCTACAGGAACATATGACAACACCTCATCTGTAGCATGCTCTGCTGCTCGAACTGGCCGACGTCGAGTGGAACAAGGTGCTCGAAAATGACCCCGCTCAGCCATTCGCTTCTGGTGTGAATCGGTGAAGACCACTCGTCCTGTCCGTAGCTGGGAAGACTCGGTAGTAGCAACCTTGGCAGCTCTATCCTAATCTAATGCTAGATCCACACCTCTCCCTGCAATAGTACCGTATCTTACTCTGAATTTCATTGCATAAGAAGAAAAAAAAATACTAGATAAACAAAATTATGGCAACTACCAGAAATTTAGAAATTTCTGGTATAAAACTAACTTTTTATAACTACAAAAAATTTTAAAATTTTCAGTACAAAACTAAATTTTTATAACCACCAGAAAATTTGAAATTTCTAGTACGAAATTAGATTTTTTAAATTACCATAAATTTTGAAATCTCCAGTAAAAAAATATTAGATTCAGTATAGAAAATTATAAAATTTCCAATAAAAAATATCGGAGATTATAAAATTTCAGGTATAAAATATTAGAAAATTTAAAATTTCCAATATATATATATATATATAATGGTGGTGGTGGTGTGAGGTGTAAGTGTGGGGCAGGGGAGGTGTTTCGCAGGTTAATTTTTCAATATGTAGCTGGTAATTTTTTGGGAGGTTTCTAGGGTACACAAATAGTTGGGATCTACCCTTTAATAATTTTAAGGATTGTTTTGTTTTAATTTTTAATTATGTATATATTTGAAAGGATTTTTCAGACAATTTCTCGAAGAATTTTTTTGATAAGGGATACACAAATAAAAAAACTTAGACCAAACAATTTTTGACTAAATATTATAAATATTACAAAATTAATGGTAATGCTAACTTGTGCCCTAAAGACACATGTTAAGAAATTTATAAATATAAAATTTATATTGAAAAAAATAATAAAATAATTAGTTATAAACTATTGATAAAAATAATACACAAGTTCCAAAAAAACATTTCTACATTTAGTTTTTAACATGTGTTCCTAGAGTACAAGTTAGCATTACCCAAAAATTAAAGAAAACACGAAATCAATACTCTAAAGAGCTTTTTTTTAGTGATTATGCAAAATTTTTACTTTTGAAAAGATTATACTTATTTTAATTACCGGAAAGTATCATATTTCAATCTCATCAAAAAATTATGCGGAGTTTTTTTATTAATTACAGAGAAGTATCTTCATGTTCAACACATAAACAACAAAGCGATAAAGAGATTAAGATCTAAAATGCAACAATGGTTAAAATTGTTAGATTATCATCATTATATTTTTAGATGTCGAGTGTGTTGATGAAAATTTTGTTTGGGATATATTTTAGAAGCTCTCAAATCCATTAAATTTTATAACACATTTTCCACTACAATGATAATGATTCAATATAAACTATCTCTACTTCAAATTTTACAAATATGACATATTTAATTGACTTCGCTTTTTTAAATGTGAAAAGAAGGATAATGATATATGAGCTCTAGAAATGTATCACAATATCTTGAAAAACTCGAAAATATACTACATGTGATTGTAATGACTACTGACTGCGATATTTCACTGATGAATTATGTTGCAAAATGATTTCTTACATCATATGCTATAGTGTGCCGGTATCACGTAACAAAAATGTTAGATAAAAAATTAAGAGAATTTTGAAAAACAAACAAATCAAGAGTAAAGACGAGAAAATTGTCAAACCTATACAAATATTGAAACCCATAATAGAAGCGTGAAATGTTATAATCATTTCATTTACAGAGGAGTCATATGTTGATTTTTTCCCCATGTAATTCAAAAGTGTGTGTGCGAAATATCCTAATTTTTTTAATTATGTTGAAACTAAAATAATAGACAATGTGAAGGAAAATATAGTGCGTGCATGGATTGATCAAGTTAGACAGATTATCAAGACCACACTATACACACTTGAATGTACTTGTGACAGACTAGGAAATGGTTGGAATGTAGTAAGAGTGATTTTTGCAAGCGTTGGGAATTAATTAACAATATGATTGTACTTCATCACAATAAGATACATACATCGATTGGTCAAAGTATCACAATACTATAACATAAATTCAAGCACAAAAATTTGTATTCATAGTTGACTGATAATATACCTCGTGTAGGGTTGTATTTTATTTATTACAAAGTTATACAAGCAGAGAAAGTTATTCAGATAGCTCCAAGTGTGGTTGTACACTTTGAAAAACATACAGACCTCCATGTGCTTGTGCAATAGTCATGAAGATGAAGCTCGATAGAGCTATATGTACGAATGGGGTAAACACACACTGAAGGTTGAGAAAAACACAAGAAAGGGGGTTTGAATTGGGTTTTGCAAATTTTTTCAATAGACTTGGTCACACACAGACACAAACAAAGTATGAACCACAGAAAGAAAGAACACAATTAGTTTATTCTGGTTCGCTGTTAAAAAAGTTAATCCAGTCCACCCGCCAAGGTGACTTTGCCTTATCACAAGGACTTAATCCACTAATCTTTGATAAGATTACAACAACCTCTAAATCATCAACGACTTAGCCCTCTCGATTCTACTGGCTAACACACTTTGTCACTCAAGAAAAACTTACAACCACAACTTAGCCCTCTCGATTCTACTGACTAACACGCTTAGTCACTCAAGTAAAAATCACTTTAAAAGTGTTACAAGAATGTTTACAATAGTGCTTCTTAATAAGCTGATTGAAACAAATTTCAGAACAGTATTTTCTACACAAATATGAGCAACAACTCTTTGTGTTTTGAGATTCTTTGACAGAGTGTGTACTTTAGCGTTTTTGACTTGTGAATCGTTATTCTTGCAATGCAACATACTCTTATATTTATATCATCAATAGATATTCGTTGAGGAATAATAATGTCTTTTAGCTATGCTAGTTTTCTTCAACGGTAGAATCCTTGGAAAGCAGAAGTAGTAAAAGCTTAGAAAGTTTTCTGGTTAATTCTGAGTAAAGTCTCTACTTTAGACTTTTTAGGAAAGAGTCATTTGTATGGATTCTTGGTCTTCATGTTTTACTTTAGACTTTAAGATTTGATCTTTATCATGTAATTGAACTTTAACGTTGACCAGAGACTTCATAATCCCTTCTTTTAGAATCAGACGCTTTCTTGAGGAGCACATGTTTTCTTCTTCAGAAGCACCGGTATTTATCAGAATCTTGTTGAGTTGCGCTTAGAAGTTGATTCCAATGAGAATTGTATATTTGCACATTTAAAATAGAATTAGAGTACCAAATTGTTACATTTAAAATATATGCATTGTTATTATCAAAACTAGAGATTATATGCCGAATCGAAATCTTGTTCTAACAATCTTCCCCTTTTTTATGAAGACAAAATCATGTATTTTGATGAAATAGTGTATATGCTTTAATTTGCTAACGATATCAGAGTTAGGTTTTTTTTAATACTCCCCTGAGATAGACAAGCTCCCCCTGAGCTGATATCTCATGTTTACTTCTTCTAAGTTGAATTCTTTTTGCAATGTTTACCACCAGAAGCTTCTAACGAAACAATTCTGCAATTTCTTTCTCATGCTTGTATATATGATGTTAGAATGTGA